GTCATTTGATCTTTGATAAGCCTATCAAAAACATTCAGTGGAGGAAAGACTCCCTATTTAACAAATGGTGCTGGGTGAACTGGCTGGTGACCTGTAGAAGACTGAAACTGGACCCCCACCTTTCACCATTAATAAAAATTGACTCTCACTGGATCACAGATTTAAACTTAAGACATGAAACTATACAAATACTAGAAGAGAGTGCAGGGGAAACACTTAAAGAAATTGGCCTGGGAAAATATTTTATGAGGAAGACCCTCACTGACAATGGAGACAACACCAAAAATATATTGCTGGGATATGATCAAAGTAAAAAGCTTTTGCACAGCCAAGAGCACTGTAAGTAAAGCAATCACACAGCCTTTAGAATGGCAGAAGTTATTTGTAGGTTATGTTTCTAACCAAGGTCTTATACCTCGAATCCACAGAGAATTCAAACTTATCAATAAGAGGACAAATGACCTCATTTGTATGTGGGCAAGAGATTTGAACAGAAACTTCTCTGAAGAAGACAGGTGAATGGCCAACAAACACATGAAAAAATACTCAACATCTTCAATCTTCAGAGAAATGCAAATCAAAAGCACTTTGAGATACCGTCTAACTCCACATCACAAAATTCCCAAACTGCAGATGTTAGCATGGATGTGGAGAGAATTGATTACTTCTACACCACTGGTGGGAATGTAAACTAATACAGCTTTTTTGAAAAAGTTTGGAGAATACTCATGGAACTAAAAGTAGGCCTACTATTGGATCCTGCAATTCCTCTACTAGGTATAAACACAATGATGAAAAATCATTTTACAATAGGGTGGCACCCAATAAAAAATAAGAACTTTAAAAAAATCATTTTACAACAAATAAATTTGCACCAGAATGTTTATTGCAGCCCAATTTATAATTGCCAAGTCATGGAAGCAGCCCAAATTTCCATCAACCCAGGACTAGATCAATAAATTGGATATGTGTCTACCATGGAATACTGTGCAGCCATAGAGAAATGTTGGATACTATACATCTTTTATGTTTATATGGATGGAACTGAAACATATTCTTTTTCATAAAGTATCTCAAGAATGGGGAAAAAATATCCAATGTACTCAATACTATTATGAATCCAATGTATAATCACCTACACATTCACACAAATGATAAAACACAACTATAGTCCACGAAGAAGGAGGGAAGAAAAGGGAGAGGGGAGAGGAAGGGGAAGGGCAAAAAGAAGGAGAGTATTTGGCGGGACCTCACCTATTGTGCACAATGCAATGGCAGGTGTCAAAACTATTCAGAGTAGAGTATAGATGTCTTACCACAACAAATAAATAGGTGAGGTGATGGTAATGTTAATCAGTTTGATGTAAGCATACCATATTGTATATCAAATCACACTATACTCCATAAATGTGCACAGTTATGATTTAATAAAAAAATTGAAAAATTGAATTCCGGGGCGGGGCATATACATCTATTCATTTCTCCTTCAATATCTCAAGCAGTACTTGCATGTACTAGAATAGGGATGGGGAGCCTCTAGCCTTCTATAAACTCAATAAATATTTGTTAAACAAATTAATACTGAAAATTTCAACACTAAGAAACTCATCCTTTATGTTATTTTTGAGACATATTTTAAATTAAAATTATAAGCAATAAATTACTTAAAATAGGAAAAGATTGGCAATTAGTTCCTGAAATAGTACTTTCTGTTTCAATTAATAGAGTATGGAATTAGTGACTAAGCAAATTGTAATATCTAAGAAATTTTCAAATGAAAAACTGTGGTTATGAACTTTCAGAGTAACAGATTTGTAGCTTTCTCAAGTACTTTAACATTAGTTGTATTTGTTATACAGAATGATCCTGTGAGATAGCTTATTGTGTGTTATGATTATTTACTGTACAAATGAAGGAGCTGGATTTCATGAAGATTTAGTGGCTACTCAGGGTTATATAGTTTCTAAGAGAGAAAGGTATTCTTGAAGCCCAGGTCTTACTGCCTTAAAGGCAGATTGACTTTCCATTTCCCAGGGTAGCCTTCTTTCAGTGTGGCACTTAGACGTGAGGCTTGTTAAATAGAAAGGGAGCTTACATCCCATTCTAACTTCCAATGCTGCAACTCTGTGATTGTGACCTTGAAAGGTTAGGTGATCTAATCGCCTATGTTTTTATTTTTCCTGCAACCTTCAAGGTTACAACCTAAATTTTGATTTTTATCATGTTTAGTGATAAGAAACGTCTAGTTGTTAGTGACTTTATATTCTGATAGCTTTTGTTATAGCTATACTATTCTATCTGTTTTATATGCAGCTTTTAAGCTGAGGTGATGTAAATTATATATATATAATTTTGCTGATAGTGTTCAGTTCATATTTGTGTCCTTGTTAATCTGTTACTACTTAGGCAGACACAAAAGTATCCAAGTCTGGTTAGTGAAAATCTGACACCAAGAAAGTTACCCTGGCAGGACCCTGATGATATGGCTAGTAGCTATGTCCCCAAATCCTTTAAGTGATAATATAGATAAATTTTTATCATCTTATTCTTCTTAGAAAATATTTTGGTATTTTATCTACCTTATGTAATTTAAGCAACTAATAACTGTATCTTATTCCTTTATTAGAAAACAGCACTGCACAAATAACATCCACAGGAAGCCTTATATTTCAGAACTTTGAGGAGAGTATGAGTGGAGTTTACACATGTTTCCTCGAGTATAAACCTACTGTGGAAGAAATTGTTAAAAACCTTCAACTAAAATATGTTATGTATGGTAAGAAGTGAAGATATTTGCATTTTAACATTTCTTAATGTTTGAAAATATTTAAATATATTTTAAAAGGATTTTGCTATTTTCAGTCCTATTTAATTAAAACATTTTACTGCCTGCCTATATTATATAAAGTGCTTTGTGAAGAGTTAGAGGTGAGGGCACAGGATGGCTAACAGAGAACAGTCTCTTTTCTTTAAAGAAATGTCAGAATTTATAGAGATAAATAAATTTAAGTGCATGAATGAAGCGGGGAGTATAGACATGATGTTGGGATTTTATTTATAATTACATTATATCTTTATATACACAGTCTTTAAAAATTTTAGAAAATTGCAAAAATGAACAGTGAAAATTATCAACTTTAAATTTGTCAAGTATAAAACGTGACTCGTTGCTTTACTATATACTTCCTCAATTTTTAGTAAGTTTGCACATCTTTCTATATTTTTTTCCCAATAGATTACATTGCCTTCCAAATTTGACTATCATTTTGCTTTTGAATAGTTTGCTGTTTGCTTATTAGTGTATAGGTATTGGGTACTCTGGATACCAATTCTTTCTTATTCATTTTTCAAATAATTTTTGCTTATTTCTCACTTGTCTTTACTTATAATGTTGTTTATACTAACAGAAGTTTCAAATTTTGTTGTAATGAGATTTATCAGTTTATTTCTCTGAATTACATTTTTATTTTGTTTTACTAAGATTGTTTCCTATACCTAGAAAATAAAAATAGTTTCCTGTATTTTCTTTTCTAGGCCAATTTTTTAAATTAAGCTTTTGTTTCAAGATAATTATAGACTCATATATTGTTGTGAGAACTAATTCAGAGAGATCTCATGTATCCATTACCTAGTGTCCCCCAGTGGTAACATTTTGTAAACAGGCCAAGATAATGACCTTGTTTTAGTCCACTTATTTTATTCATATTTCTGCAGTTTGTGTATTCATTTATGTGTGTGTGTAACTCTAACTGTTCTCACACATGTAGGGTCATAGATACATTTCCCACTGTAAACAAGATGTAGTAGAGTGCTATGGACAGAAGGATATCTTTTACTCTCCTTTTATAATTGAACTCACATTCTGCCTACCTATATCCATATATCTTGGTAACCATTAATTTTCTATAATTCTATAATTTTGTCATTTCAAAAATACAAATATAATGATATTTGATTTGGTTTTTGGGATTGGTTTTTCCATTTGGTCTAATTCCCTGGAGATTCATGTAAGTTGTATGCATTTAGTGTTGCTATAAGGAAATATCTGAGGCTGTGTAAAGAGAAGAGGCTTATTTGACTCATAGTATAATACAGGCTGTCCAAGAAGCATGGTATCAGCATCTGCTTCTGGTGAGGCTGCTTCCATTTGTGGCAGGGAAGAAGGGGAAATGGCATGTGTACCAATTGCATGGTGAGAAAGGAAGCAAGGAGGGAGTTTCAGGTTCTTTTTAACAACCAGCTCTCCTGGAAACTAATGGAGGGAGAACTCATTCACTGCCGTGAGGAACACACAAAGTAATTCATGAGGAGTATGTCCTTATGACCCAAATACCTCTCATTGGGCTTCACCTCCAACACTGGGGATCAAATTTCAACAGGAGATTTGGAGGGCGAAAACGTCCAAACTGTAGCAATCATTCATTCCTTTCTATTGTTGTCTTTCATAGTATGCATGTACCCCACATTTTTTTTAACCAGTCAAGCATTGAAGAGCATCTGGCTTGCTTCAGGGTTTTGGCTATTACATATAAAGCTGCTCATATTTGTGGATTATTTTAATATAGACAAAAATGTTGCCACACCTAAGTCCCTGGTCTTGGTTGCCACAGGAATGAACGAGGCATGACACAGATTAGAAGTACAAGCTTGTAGGAAGTGGGCTAACCTTGAGTGCAGGGTAGCCCAGAGCCCTGTCTGCAATGGCTGTTTATTAGGGTTACACACAACAGGTGTGGAGAGTTACAGTAATGACATACACAACAGGTGTGGAGAGTTAAGGTAATTACATAGAGGGCTGCATGTGTAAGGATTGCCATGTGCTCTTTCCTCACATGTTCTTTCCCCGCAACCCTCATGAAGATCTACTAAGCATCTATGTTTATTTAACACATGCTTAGTAATGAGTAACCCATCTTAACCTCATTCCAGAGCACTGAGTTACTTGGGGGATTGCCCCCAAGTCACAAAACATCTCTAGGCTTGCCAGGAGACTGTCCTGTTCACAGCATTTCCTTTTAATGTGATAAGAATCAGTAACGTTCTTTTGCAAGCATGGTGTCCATTTCTCTACACAAACGTTTTCATTTACATGGGGCAAATGTCCAAAGTATGTTTTCCAGAGTGGCTGTACCATTTTATGTTCCCACCAGCAATATAAGAATGATCCAGTTTGGCCACATCTTCACTAGCATGTGGTGCTATAATTACTTATTATTTTAGCTATTTTGATAGGTGTGAAGAAACATTTCATTGAGATTTTAATTTATATTTCCCTAATAGCTAATGTTTTGAACATGTTTGTATGAGTTTATTTACCCTTTATACTTACTGTTTGAAGAAACATCTACTGATATTAGTTGATCATTTTTTTCTCATTGTATTGTTTATATATTACTGTTGAGTTTTTGATAGTTTTAAATATATATACATGCACACATATATTCATGCATGTATATATATATATATGCACATACATAGGCATACATATGTATATTTCTAGATACTGTTCCTTTGTTGGGTATGTTATTTGCAAATATTTTCTTCTACTATATCTTGTCTTTTCATTCTTTTGATGGGATCTTTACTGAGCCAAAGTTTGAAAATCTAATGAGGTTTGGTTTATCACATTTGCTTTTATGAATCAGAGTTTTGGTATTGATACAAAGAATCTTTTGCCTGCACCTAGATACCAGATTTATTTGCCTATTTTTTAATGTGTCATAGTTTTCCTTTTAGCATTTATGTATGGGATGCATTTGAGTTAATTTTTGTATGAGATATATTGATGTTTGGTGAAGGGTGAATTTTTTTTGGCATGTTCAGTTTCTCCTGCAGTATTTCTTGGAAAGGTTATCTTTATTGAATTACTTTTGCACCTTTGTTAGAAATCGAGCATATTTGCATGGGTCTTTTCATAGGTTCTTTAATTTCTTTCATTGATCTGTAGGTTTATACTTCATTTGCTAAAACCACACATTTGATTACTATGAGAACATAGGAAACCACAATACCAGGTGTAGCAATTCCTCCCACTATTTTTTGTTTTCAAGTTAGTTTTCAAAGATAGTTTTTTTCGAATAATTTTGTATGTATGTACAAATTATCTTGGTGTGATTTTCATGCTAATTACATTAATTATGTAGATAAACTTGGGGGATAATTACTGTCTTTACTACATTGAATTTTGTATTCCGTAGACATGGTATGTCATTCCATTTATTAAGTTTTCTTTGATTTCTTTTACCTGCATATTCATATCTTGTTAAATATATACCTAAGTATGTAATTTTTGTTTTTCTATAGTAATTATAAATGCTGTTACATTTTATGTTTTGAATTTCATGTTTATTACTTATATATAGAAATACCATTTATTATTTGTGTGTTGATCTTCTGTTTTTCCACCCTGCTGAAGTTATATAACAATTCTAGCCTTTTTGTTTTTTGTAAATTCTTCATGGGACAGTCGTGGTATCTGAACTTAGGGACAGTTTTACTTCTTTTCAATCGTTATCCTTCTTTTTCATTTTTATGGCCTTATTAAGGAGGCTAGGGCTTCTGTTATTGTGTTGAATTAGCATGGTGAGAAGTATGATGTTAGCTGTGTGTTTCTTGTGGGTGCCAGTTTTTAGGTTGAGGAAGTTCCTTTTCATTCTATATTTGTTGATTGTTTTTATTATAAAAATTTGTTGGAGTTTATCAGATTTTTTTCCTGTATCAATTAATATACATGTGGCTTTTATTTTGTATTTTATTAATATGGTATGTTACATAATTGATTTTCAAATGTTAAATAATACTTGCATTATTGGGATAAATCCCATTTGGTCATGGTGTATCCTTTCAATATGCTGCTGATATTTTTTCAGAATTTTTGCATCTTTGGTCTTAGGAGATATTTATTTATGGTTTCCTTTTCTTGTGATATATTTGTCTGATATTTGGGTAATAACTGGCTTCATACAGTGAGTTGGGTGTGTTCCCTTCTATTATAATTTGGGAAGAGTTTATTCAGAATTGTTAATACAACTTTAAATGTTTGCTGGAATTCATCAGTGACATCAGGGAATGGGCTATGTTTACATGGGTATTTTTTGATTACTAATTGAAACTCTTTGTTATATATCTATTAGTATTTTTTTGTCTTTATTCAGTTTAAGTAGTTTGTGTCTTTTTAGGAATGTCTTTTTTATCTAAATTATTTGCATAGAGTTGTTCATAGTGTTCTTTTATAATTCTTTTTATTTTTTAAAGTGGGTAGTAATATCTTTCATTTCTCTTAGAGTTTCTCTCTTTTCATAAATCTAAGTAAAGGCTTATAACTGTCTCTTCAACAAACTAGGTTTGGTTTCATTGATTTTCACTTTTTCATTCTTTATGTCATTTATCTCTGCTCTAGTCTGTATTATTTAATATTTCCTTCTTTTTACTTACTTTATATTAAAATTTCTCTTTTCCATTATCTTAGAGTAAAAAAGTTATTGACTTGAGATTCTTTTTTATTAAAAAGGTGTATTTTATGTATGTATATATGTGTATATAAAGACACATAACTTCCAAGTACTTTTCATTTTTATTTGCATCAAGATATTTTCTAATTTCACTTTTGATTTCTTCTTTGACCTATTGATTATTTAAGAGTATGTTGTTAATTTCTATACGTTTATGAGTCTCTCAAATTTCTTTCTGCTATTGATTTTTAATTTTCATTATACCATAGAAAATATGATATTTCAATTTTATCAAGGTTTGTGACTTAGCATATGCTCCATCTTT